ACTTGACTGAGCCAAGTGCTGAGACCTCAGACCCAGGCACAGCAGAGCCCTGGTGTTGGACCATATGGAACAGGCACCTGGGAGCTTCCATGCTGACTCCGCTCTGCTGCTGGGTACACCATTTGCTTTGGTCATGGGGTTCCAGGTTTTGATCTTATGCTTGAGGTCTCCTAGGGAGGGACCCTTGGGGCTGCTGTGATCCAGAGCAGGGCAGTGCTCGACTGAGGGAATCTGGGCAGGGAAGGAGGTAGCTTGTGGGATCCCCCTGCTTTCTCATCACATCACTGAAAGTGCACGACACACATTTGAGGTGATTTTGAGAGTACTGGAATGGGAACAGGGTGTCACTGTTCCTCAAGCCCAAAGTCTGTGCCACCGATCCCTGTCCCCACAGCTCACAGTTCCCTCCAACCCATGACCTGGCTTCCTGATATTGAGGCTGCTAAGGGGCCACAGCCAGGCCAAAGCCAATGTCTCTGTGGCTGTTTTCAGCATTGTTCTCCTCTGGCTCTTACCCCAACTCCCTGTCTCTCACCCCATGCCAGGGCCCAGGTCAGGCCTGCTCTGGTTTCCTTCATGGTGAGCTGGACACTGCTCCCGTGCTGGGGTTCCAGTAACCAGACCAGTGGTCAGAGTGGATTCCCAATGGGCAAGAAGTGAATCTCCAGGAAACCTTCCCTGTCCTTGGGTGAATTAGATCAGGCTGAGGCTGGGCCTGTCCCTGGGAGTCAGGCCATTCAGGTCTCCCTCCAGGCCACCTCCTGCTTGCTGGGTCAGGATTACCCAAAATTCTCCTGGCTTCTGACCACAGAAAACCCAGGTGTGGGTGTGATCCAGCTATAGCTGCTCATGAGCAGATGCAGACAGAAAATTGGGGTGCTGACCCATGGCTTCTCTCAGCAGTGGCTCAGTCCCAAAGCTTCTGTGTGGCATGCTGAGAGCTCGCTAGGAAGTTCTGGATTTCCTAGAAAACAGTGTGGAAGCTGGTGGGGATGGCTATGGGGAACCAGCTCAGGGCCCCTGTGGAAAGCATCAGTAGGGTCCAAGGGAGACAAGCGAGTGCCAGGCATGATGCACACATGAACCGAGAAGCATTTCAAGTGCCACAGCTCTGCATAGTGTGGACGCTTGAGCTTTCTCTCTGGGCACTGGCCCACTGGGGATAGAGTGGAGGATTGAAACTTCCAGAGTCCTGTCTACCTTGGAGCTTGTGGGACAGTGCAAGCCTCACTAGAATGTCTAAATCTGGTCCTCACCTAGTCACCCTAGTGCTGGTTCTCACAGCTGGTGTTTGGAGCTGTCCTCCCTAGATCCCTGCTGGACTCTGAAGGGGGTGCACAGAAGCTTTCCCTTTGATCCAGCCTGCAGGACAAACACCCCCTGTACTTGTGCAGGAAGCTGATGGAACCTCTGAGAGACAGCAGAAGTGCTTGACTCCTGCTTTTTAAGTGCAGGTCAGGGCAGGAGTGACTGGTTTGGGTGGCAATGGTTGCGTCCCTCCCCTTCACTTCCCCTGGTCCCTCATGTCTTCCAATGGATGGGGACAACTTGCTTCAGTGTCCTTCCTGGCTATCTAGCATCCACTCACCTCCATACCAAGGTGAGTGAAGCTGAACTCTCAGTACACCTCCCTCTGTGCTCATTCCACTCCAGAGGCTTGCTTTGCCTATTTTGAACAAGGGCGGGGGCATCTTGGCCTGGTTAAGATCATGAAGGGAGAGATCTGGTCCCATTCTTAATATCCCAAGCCTCACTGCTAGCTTTCCAGAGGAGTCACTGGTTCCTTCCATGCTTTTCATTAGCACAGGCCTGCAGCTGCTGTAGAAGTAGCACTCCCAGCACATCTCAGATTAGTTTAGGAATGCTGTCCATTTTTTACTGCATGTGCTGCAGCACAGACTTTGTTCAAATAAAAACTTGCTTATGAGTACAGTCTCTAGTTGCATCCATTTATCTACAAAAGCCTCAATTTTATCTTTTTTATAGCTGAGTAATACTTCATTGTATAGAAATACCACATCTTTTTTATCCATTCCTTAGTTTATGGGCTTTTGTGTTTCCAAGATTTAGCTATGACAAATTGTGCTGCTATAAACACGGGTGTACATATATCACTGTGGTGTGATGTTTTCAGTTTTTCTGGAAAAATACCCAGAAGGGGAGAGCTGGGTTAAGTGGGACCTCTAATCCTAGTTTTCTGAGGACTCTCTACACTGATTTCCACAGTGGTTTCACCAGTTTACACTCCCACCAGCAGTGGCAAAGTGTTCCTTTTTCTCCACAGCCTCACCAGCATTTGTTATTAGTTGATTTCTTGATGACGGCCATTCTTTCTGGGGTGAAATGGAATCTCAATGCTGTTTTAATTTTCATTTCTCAAATGACCAATGATGCTGAACATTTTTTCATATATTTATTTACCATTTGTATTTCTTCAGCTGAGAAGAGTATATTCATCTCAGATGCCCATTCTTGGATTGGACCTTTGAATTTGGAGGGGGGCAATGATTTTTTTCCATTGTTGAATTCCTACCATTTTGTTTAGTGAAGCTCTATGTTGCTTCTAATTTTTAAATTAATTTTTATTCTCTTTAATTGTTTGAGCAATCTAGCATTCTTACATCTGGTAATCTGAGCAACTTTATTGAAGATAACAATATATAATATAACAGCCATTGTTAATCCCTAACATCTTGTTTTGAAATTCTGTATTTTTTTTTGGTGTTTTGTTGTTGTCCTTGTTGTTATTTTGTTATTTATTTTTAGGTGAAATAAAAAAAAAACAAACAAAGACTGGCTTTGGTATTTCTGTCAAGTGATGCCTGAGTTATTCCAGAGGCAGTGTGAGCCTCAAAAGTCCCACAGATTTTCTCAGGATCATTATGCTGAGTAGTGTGGACAGACCAGTCACTGCAAAAGCAAAGGCAAAACATATTAAGAGCTTTTAGCACTGAGGATCTCCAGAGACCTTCAGCGAGCAAGGGCAGCAGCAGCAGCCAGCACGTGGTAGCTGATATAGAAGGTTGGGCATAAGGCAGAACTGAATAGTGGTGGTCAGGGGCTACTGGCCAGCAGCAGTGGTGACCATAAGCTGGCTGTGTCAGCTGTTGTTGACATGCAGTGTTACCTGCTGTCAGCTCATGACATTAGGAATGTTAGCAGAAGTGCACGTTGGGAGTTTAGAAAATGCAGTCTGGGCTGATTGACAGCTCCTCTAGGGAGTTCCCTGTCCCTCTAGCTCAAGCTGCCATTGGCAGGGATGGGCCAGAGCTTGGGTTGCCTGTGTTAGGTATGGTCATTGGTGCCTTGCATACCCCCACTCCAAGGTCCGTTTAGAGATACAGCACACCTGGATTGCAAATCTAGATGAAGGCTTCATCCTCTTCCCTTAATACCTGACCTCCATGGCTGGAATGGAATGGAAGCTGGGCGGCAATCAGAAGGTTCATGGGATATCGTGAGACTTGAGAATGTGAAAGACTAACAAAGAGAAGCAAACAGAGATGTAGTATGATACCAGTGGGTCTGAGACTGGCCTAGCATCAGTCAGAAAGGACAGGCCCCACATTGCTCTTTATTCTACTTTCAATCCCTCAGCTAACTTCACAAAGCAAGGGAAGAGCTGCTCTGCTGATTTGGGAGGCCACACACAGACTGCACCCGGGACCTGAGGTGTACCTATTCAAGGCTGTCCTGACTTTCCTTTCTATTCTCATTCCTTCTTTTTTTCTACAGTAGTGTGTATTGCATTCAGCTATCTCCTCAGGTTTTAAAAATTTTTTCTTGATACACAATCTCCATAAATTGTTCAAGCTTGGCTCCAACTTATAATGCTCCTGCATCAGCCTCCCAAAATGCGGGGATTACAAATACCTACCACCACCATACCCTCAGGATGATCTGTCAGGGACAAGGCCAAATCCTGACACCCTGTGACCCCAAGCAACTGGTGTACACAGCAGTGGAGTGCAGCCTACCCTTCCCTGGTTGATGCCTCCCCTGCATATTCCCCCTGCCAAGCTTCAAGGTGAGCTGTGACTCAGCCACTTCTATAGCACTTGGACCTGACTCTCGGTCTCTGATTGTTGGGCTCACAAGAGAGGACAAGGCCCTGGGGACCCCATGCCGTCCTGTTTGCTTCTGCAGAAATGCACATGGTACGCTGGAGGAAAGGGGCTCAAGGCATCTGAGCCTGCTTGGTCCCTGGCCTGAGGTTATTATGGGGGCCATTATCTGAGCTCAGAGATCTCAAAGCAGAAACCCTGTCCCTTTCCCCTCTCTGTCCACAATTTCTGCTGTCAGCTTCCTGCCCTTCCTTGACCTTTAAAAAACCAGGAACCCCCATAGGGCCTGGGAGTAGAGCATTTTTTTCTTTTCTTTTTTTCTTTTCTTTCCTTTCACTCATCTATGATTCTTTGTTTTATTAGTTTTTTTTCTTTTTTGTTTTGTTCTTTTAGATAAGTTCTTGCTATAAGTATCAGGCTGGCATTGAACGGAGTTCATAGCCGAGGGTGGCCTTGAACTTCCAGTGATCCTCCTGCTTCAGGTGGAATTGCAAACGTGTACCATTCTACCTGGGACATTCTGTACTTTCTGCCGGTACAGGAGTCCTTGGCACCCCACACCCCAACCTTGTCTCACAGGCTCCAAGATGACAGCTTGTCCAGCTCTGAGAGAGGCCCCTAGATGGGGTCATTCAGATCAAGAGAAGGGGGCCAGTGAGCCCAGAGGGAGCTCCTGTCCCTCCAGACTGTGAAGCTCTGGCAGTGTCCCCATCTCCTGTTGCCTTCCCTGCTCTTAAACTTGCACAATCCTGCCAGAGGTGAAAAAGACCAGAGATCTGGACACACTCTTTTGGAGGAATTGATGGTAAGTGATTCATTTTTCCTGGGTTTATCAAGGGATCGATCAGCCCACCCTCATGGAAGGACACCCGGTGGCTTATAAATAGTTCTTCTGAGGTGGACACTGCAGGCGGTCTCAGCAGCTCTCCTGAAGCCATGGCCCTGGGTCTCCTGTGTGTGGGACTCACTCTGCTGGGGGCGCTGCAGATCCAAGCCCAGGACCAGCCTCAGAACCCGATCCCAGTGCCAAGTCTAAGCACCCTGCCCTTGCAGGCTGACTTCAAAGATGACCAGGTAAGGACTCTTAAAGTGCAGCTGCAGGAATGTTCCAGGGACAGTGAAGGGGAGGAGGAGCAAAGAGACTTCTGGACAGGATGGAGACTCAGGCATCCAAGGCCAAGCCGTGGCCTGTGGGGACATCTTCAGTACCTGCACAGACATGAAAACTGATCCTCAATAAGGCTGACCAGCCACTTGCCCAGGGCCACCCCATCCCTGACAACTCTTGGCTGACTCCTCAGCCAGGTTGCCTCTTGGCCCTGGAAGACTCAGCTCCTTCCAGATTCTCAGGGCAGCCCATTTTCAGGTCCTTCTGCTCATAGGCCTGCCCAGAGGTCTCCATGGGGACGGCATGGGAAGGGTGGCTCTGGGGCCATCCCTGGGCTCTGTCTGTCATCATCCCCTTGCAGTTCCAGGGGAAGTGGTACGTCATAGGCATGGCAGGGAACTCAATTTTGAAAGGAAGTGGACAAAATCATTACATGTACAGCGATTCCTACAAGCTGAACGATGACCACAGCTACAATGTCAAAACCAGAGCACTCAGGTGAAGCAGTCACTTCTGGGCATTTGAGAGGCAGAACAATGTCACGGCCAGTGGATGACTGAGCCTTAACTGTCATTCATCTCGCTGCTCTGCATGGAACCAATTTCCCACACTTCCTGTGTCTCCTCCTCTTCTTCCTTTTTTGTCCCTTTCTATTCTTCCTTTCTCCCTCTCTTCTTCCCTCTCTCCATCAATAGTCATGGGTGCCTCCAACGCAGACACAGTCAGTAGAAAGCAAGACAGAGAGGAGAGCTTCTGAGAGGGGAGGAGGGACACTGGATCCAGCCTGGGCTGGGGTGAATGGGGCCTCAGAGTTATGCAGCAGATTTTGACCTACTTTGTCCAGCTCAGGGGCTAAGTCTGTGCCATCTCCCTGCTCACAAAACCTCCATTTCTCCTCTCACAGGGACCAGGAGTGTACACAACTGGTCAAAACATTTGTCCCATATGTTGAACCTGGCCAGTTTGTCATGGACAATATGACACGTGAGTCCTGAGTGACAGCTCCCTCGGGGTGGGATTTGGGGGGCAGGATCCTCCTGGAAGGGCACAGGCTTCCCCATCCTTCCACACTGATGCTGTTCTATGGCAAAAACCTGCTGACTGGCCGGGCAAGAAGGGGATGGCCCTTTCCTCATGGACAGAGCAGCAATGACCCTCGCCATCTATGCTGCAGATTCACCTGGATTAGAAAACTACATCATGAGGGTGACAGCCACTGACTACAATCAGTTCGCTGTGATGTACATCGAGAGTACATTTGAACACACGGTGTTTTTCCAGACCAAACTCACAGGTATGTCTTGATTCTCTCCCCTCAGCGATCTGGCCTCTGGTCACAAGGAAGTGAGAAAGCCCCTTCCTCCAGCATCCTCCCGATTCTCCACTTCAGGGGTTTTTCAGGAAGGAAATTTTCCACTCTCCCTCTGTAGGAAAGGGGTGCAATACTTCACTGACTCATTCAAAAATGTTCAGGGAATGAGCTGGCAGGAGTGGCTCACAAGTGGCACCCCAGCACTTAGGAAGGTGAAGCAGGAGGATGGAGCATTTAAAGCTACTCTGAGGTGCATAGTGAAAGCCTGTCTCAAAACAAAAGCCTGGGTCAGAAAATGTGACAACAAACCAACAAAAACCCTCAAAGAAAACAAAATAAAAACAAATATAGCATATCTTTGCTGGCCACTCACTAGTATCTTGGACACAGGGAGAACTAAGGAGTTGAGCTCTGAACTGAAGGAACGATTTGTCGAATTTTCAAAATCTCTGGGTCTCAGTGATGACAACATCATCTTCCTTACAGGCACAGGTAATGAGCAGCGGCAGTGGAGGCAGGGTGGCGGGTGCAGGGAAAGGGGATACAGGGTCTTGATGGGATCTTCAAGGTTGATGGTGCCCCACTAGGGAAATAGGAGAGCAGGGACTCAGTCCCCTGTTCCAGTCTCTGGAGACATAAGTGGCTCCCACCCAGGCGTCTGTGGGCCCCTAAAAATCCCAGTCCCAAGTCCTCCCCCTGGCAGGTAACCAAGGTCTATCTAAATGACAATTTTAGGCCCAGTTCCAAGTTTTCCCTGTTACTGTGCCCTGGGCTACCTCCTGTCCAGACCTTGGGCCTTATTGTCCAGGCCACCTCTTCCATACCTTGGGACTTGCTGTACCAGGCCATCTTGTCCTTCCCCTGGGGCTTGCCAAGTCCTGACATGGGACATGTCGTGACTTTCAGGTGGCCTGGTGTGAACTTGTTGCTCCAATCTAGTCCATCACTGCCCTGGTTGAAAGCTTCCAGGGCTCAGGAGGGAAATAGGACTTGGTACTTGAATAACTGTTAACGCTAGGCTCCTTGATGCCTGTTCTTAGGCACTGAGTTACAGAAACCCCCATATCTTCTACAGATGGGTGAGGGTGCATCTGGGGCCACCATGGCAGTGTCAGGGTCATAATGGCCAGAGTTTGGGGGTGGGTGAGCACACGGGTGCATGTGTGAATGCACGCATGCGCACACACACACACACACACACACACACACACAGAGAGACACACCCCTCCACCTTCTCTGATGTTCTTTCTCTCCACAGAGGAGTGCATCGATGACTGAACAGCAGTGAGTACAGCTGGGCAGGGGGTTTATGGAAGGCCAGGCCAAGGTGGGCTGGGGGCCCCAGGGCTGCTTTTATTTCCCTCTTTTGCTACCCTAAACCCCAGACATCTGTACTGTACTGCCCCCTCTCAGGTCCTCCTGTATGCCAGTGAGAGCCACCATGCCAGTGAGAGAGCTGGAAGATCTTCTTAAGGCACAGTGCTGCCTATCAAGGCAGTACAAAAACCACCGCTGGTTGAGCCCCCTTGTCTACTAAATAAACACGTGCACCAGGCCTCCAACTGTTTGATCCTTGACCCTGGGCCATGAGGAGAGGGAAGGGTAAAGGGAAGGCTCACACTGGCATCATCCCAGGGCCTGCTGTCCCTGGAGCCAAACCTGATGATAGAGTACAGAGAAAAGGCACAGGGCAAAGAAGACCCCAGGGGGCACGGCCCACACCATTGCCATTGGCTTCATGGAGATCATCCTGGGCTGAAAGATGCCATACTGACTTCTGCTTTAACTGGGCATTTGTAGTCCCAGCCCTGGGCTCACCTCCAGAGCAGCCTTCTCAGTTCCCTGCCACAGAGAAGTGGCCCGTCCAAGAGGCACTGGTGAACCAAAAGCTGATGCCAGCACTTTGCCATCTGCAATGGGTGTCACAGCAGAGTCCTCATTAGGGTTGATGAGTAGGAGAGGGCAGAAGGGTTAGCAGAGGAAGCCACAGCCAGCTCCCCAGCATGCTCTGCATACTGCAGGATGGTGACCAAGGGAGGAAGGTACATGGTGTATGGGGCAGATGTGCAAGCTTAATATAGGCAGAGGATAAGCAGGTGTGGGCTGTGACCATCTGCTGACACGTGTATGGGGGCCTGGTTTCCCTTCTCCTTACCCCCCTGGTTGAGACCATGTACATGTTGACCCTGTTCAGAGTGCAGCCTGAACCATGATGACATCCAGACCACATGTGTTTATTCTGAATCCAGGGCAGGGCTGGGAGATGCGGTGGAAGAGGCTGCCAGGAATCCAGGCTGCTGGGGGAAGAGTAACATGGCTGGGCCTGTGTGTGGTCAGACAGCAGTAGCCTTTCCAGCTGTGCACAGCACTCAGAATCGCTGTGGCCTCTTCTCCCTTTTAAGAGGCAGCAGTCTGACTGGGTGCAGCTTTGAAGGAAGGCAGATTCCTTCCACAGACGCACAGCCCTGAGGGGCTGGGCTGGGATAGTATGTCTTGAATCCAGTTGGACAGCCATGTGGGAAGGGCTCCACCCTGAGGACATTGTTTTTCACAGCAGAGGATATACAGAAATAACCACACAGGGTTCAGGTCTCTCAAGGGGCCATGGATAAAAAATAAAGACAAAGATGCAAAGTCCTGAAGTTGGGGAGATCTGGGATGACCAATATTCTCTGTGGATTAAAAGGGCATGAGTTCAAAAGCTCATGGTTTTTATTGGTGTCAATCAGGGAGGCGGGTTGGGGTCACAGCAGAGTGCTAGGGAAAAGAAACTTTGTAGGCATTGGCTGTAATGAGAAACAGAGCGATTGTGTGCCAGGCACAAAACCTGCAATTAGCAGTACAATGGACAGCTTAATGTATGCAAGGCCGGCACCTTACTGCCAGGAAGGTATAATTCTTATTGAGTCCCTCAGCTGAGAAGTTATCTCATGTCTTAGCCCTGGAACCTCACAGGTTCCTGCTTGAACCCCCATTCCAGCCATAGTAGGGTGGGGGATTGTTGCCCACCTGCTGCACTGAGACAAGTTGGCATCTCCACTGGACTTGATCACAGTCTTGTAGCCAATTAAGGGAACATCTGTTACAATACAGCCAGCTCTGCATATCTCAGCGAATAGGCTTGAAAGAGAGATTCATGGAAAGATCAAGACAAGGGGCTTTGTTTCTCAGGAGAGCACAGCTTGGTGGTCTCCCAGAGGGACAGATCCAATGTTCTGTTGGTAATGCAGTGCAGTGGGGAGCTCAGGCCTGTGGACTGTGCACCAGGGTTGGAGACCCAGACCCTGAGCTGCATCCTATCTTTTCATTCCACCTTCCCGGACCCCATTCCATCAGTTGCTTTAACCTTCCACCCAGAGCCAGCTTTTCACTGGTTGATCTGGGGTTAAATCATTGTATGGGGTCTAAGCCCACAATATTGAAACTGACCTGAGTCCTGTACATGCAGGTGGAGGTGGGCATGTGAGGGTGAGGAAGCATGTGACCTGAGCAGGTGGATAAGAAAACCTTTGCTGCTCTAGTGATGCTATTCTGAGATGAAAGTCAAGGCCAAGCTGCGTGCTTGGAAGAGAAACAGAACAACACTCATCCCAGGGCTGGTGGTTCTTGAGTCATGCTGGAGTCATCTTGGAGATGCAGGGTGAACACTAGAGAACAGGCCTCCTGACCTTCTTCCTCTCCCTGTTCACAAAAGCTCTAGTTCCATTTTTCCCTTCAATTCTTTTTTCTTTAAATCCCCCTTTCCTTTCTTCCCTTTGCCTCCTCTATCTCACCTTCCCTTTCCCATTTGAACAAGTTCTTCCTTCCTATTTCTATCCTCCAGTTTACTCCTTATTTATACTTAGGGTTTCTCATACAAGATAAACAATGTGATATTGAAACTTGTGTATCTGGTTTATTTCACTTAACATTATGGTCTTGAGATGCATCAGTTTACCTAAAAATGTCTCAGGTATATCCTTTATGGCAGAGTCATACTTCATTGTGTATAGATGACACTTTTCTTGATCCTTTCATGTGTTGATTGCCATATGGATTGTTTCCAAAATTTAGGTATTATAAATTGGGCATCTATGAACATAAGTATTTATCAGTGTAGTATGAGGACTTTAACTCTTTCAGGAAGATATCTATAAGAGGAACAGTTGGGTCAAATAGAGCCTGTACTTATAGTTTTTTAAAAATAGAAACCTACACACTGCTTTCTGTAGTGTATTTAGTAATAAAAAGAAGAAAAGAAAGAAATAAAAAAGAATAGGTCAAGACAAGTGAAAAATGTAGCTAAACTTTACATTTACTAAAGGTATTAAAGTTAGGAAAAGAACTACACTCTGCAGTAAGTGAAGGTCAATCAAAGGTAGGAAAAGATTTACACATTCATACTCTGCAATAAGAGAGCTGGGCACTTCAGTGAGAGAGAGAGAGAGAGAAGAGAGGGGGCGGGAGGGGATTGAATGACCAATGGCCATGAGGTTAAAGACAGCCAACTTTGTATTCCCCACTTCTCAGGCTGACATCAAATCTAAGCCATCCTATCAGCCAATTATCCTGATTGAATTTTGAGGAGAAGAATGGAAGATAGCAATCTGTGATGGGTTCCAGATGCAAGGCTTTTGTGCATATGTTCTGGATCTATGTGTTTGAAAGGTGACAGTGCCCTACACTGCTAGGTGTCCATACCCTGATCTTCGTCCCATTTTTCCCAATTTTGACATTATTCCCCTTACTTATTTATGGGGTGCTGAGGTTGTTGAAGTCTCTGTCCTATAAAGTTATTTCCTGCTTAAAATGGTAGGCCCGGCCCACTGCAGAATATGTGCTCTCCAACTACTTTTGGTTGTTGTGACTCACTAGCTGTGTTGAAAAAAAAAACTATCAGAAGACAATAAGGAGTTAGTATTCATATATGAAGAACTTTCATCTGCCTCTTTAAAGAGAGAAAGTCTAATGAATTTGTTAGGAGAGTCATGGGTTGTAGTCTAGATCACCAACTGAAACTTTATTGTCTGGGAATATAGACCACCATATATGGGAAATAGCAGCACAGAATATTTGCTGGTTTGTAAAATGAGTATACTATGACACATCTAGCAATTAGAGATCTTCATACTTCCTGTTGGGGAGAATGCATGGCAGAGAGGGATATTAGATTAATTACCCTGGGCCCGAGAGCTATAGCCGTAGCTGGATTACACACATTATGGATCTAATTACAAAGAGTTTCAGTTAGGGTCATTAATGACTTTACCTATCTGGATTCAGAGTAGTTCTGAAGTCTTGCCTTTTGAAATAAAGCCTTAAACCTTCCAGAGTTTCATAGGAAGAGCTTGTTTCTTCTGGATGGTCATTTTCCTCTGACAGTTCAGATGGAACTGGCTTTATAACTGCAAGTTCTCCCCAGGGTATTTCCCTTTCCTCTGCAAGGTTCTAATAAAGGAAGTGGACTGAATTTTCCATGGTGAGTGGGCAGTTTTTGCAGATCTGTAAGGTGG